TATATATATATATATATATATATATATATATATATATATATATATATATATATATATATATATATATATATATATATATATATAATATATACAAATATATATATATTATACTTTACATTCAATAATATCATACAATTAGATTCATTTGTAGATACCTCTCTTTTTAAATCTTAAATGATCATATACTATTGCCTGTCATTAGCTGGTAATTGTTCAGGATAGCAGTGCTTTTTCTTCATGGTCTCCCCCCCTCCCTTTTTTTTTACAGACCAACTGTATGTAGAAAAGGTGTGAGTGAGAATGAATATCTTCACAGTACAGAGAGATACATTTCTGACAAAGATATAACCCAAACTAGTCAAATACATCTCTTGTGCCATGAAGATATTCATTCTCATTCATAACTTTTCTACATTTGCAACACACCTATTCCAAACATACAGATATTTATATTTTCCTTAAAATGCAATTTACTGTCAAATAAGTGAATCGAAATCAGTTTAATTTCTTTATAGTTCTTTATTATTGATATGGAACAAACTGTAATATCTCTTAACTAACTGAAACAGTACAATATTCTTTCACAACCATCATATATACAGCTTACAAACAGACACTGTAAAATTAATAAAAAGTATACCCCACATCTTGGAGAGTGAAAGGATATTGAATCATTGCAAACACGCATCAATTTTCCATTTCTCTCTGCTACATGAAATACTAAGTTGCAACTGCCCATTGCATTGCCCTAATGGGAGGACACCATACACAGCTGGAAATTCTTGAACATTTCTTATCAGTCAAACGGTAACCCGGTATGTAAATGATTAGTAATAATTCCTTTTCAATCACAATCTGAGATAAGATAACTGGGAAGTGTGACCTGAATGAATAAATGTCATTAATCTACATTTTAGAATGACTGTCTTTCCACAGAGACTAACGTCAGCTGACAAGTGACAATAGAAGATATAATATTATTCAAAGAATGATTTTGTTGTTGAAGATGATGAGACCAAAATAGATATATATCTAAGCTAAATGTATATTGTTTCATAACATTACATTTTCTGCATTATGCCAATATCAAGATAATGAATCTGAACCATTCATGTGCAGAGCTGACAGGAGAAACTGGAAATAACATATGAGATTAACTGCAAGAAGTGCTTATCATAATCTTATCTTATCATAATCCTCAAAACTTGTAGAAATTATTCTGACTGCTTGCCTTTCTGTCTATCTGTTTATGTGTCTGTTAGCACAAGACCTACTTGTCTGTTTGCCTGTCTACTTGATACCTTCTTTACTGTCTGTCTTTGTCTACAAACTTACCAGTTAGCCTTTACCTGTTTGACTGCTGCTAGCCTGTCTGTCTATGTTTGTCTCTGTCTTTGCCTGCCTGCTTGCCTATAAGCTTGTATGAATGTCTGCCTGTCCGGTTGTTTGCTTTCCTGTTTGCCTGCTTGTCTGGCTGGCCTATTTGTCTGCCTGCCTGTCTGTCTGTGTCTGTCTGCCTGTCTGTCTGTCTGCCTGTCTGTGTCTGTCTGCCTGCCTGCCTGTCTGTGTCGGTCTGCCTGCCTGCTTGCCTGCCTGTCTGTGTCTGTCTGCCTGCCTGTCTGTGTCTGTCTGCCTGCCTGCTTGCCTGCCTGCCTGCCTGTCTGTGTATGCCTGCCTGCCTGCCCGTCTGTGTATGCCTGCCTGCCTGCTTGCCTGCCTGCCTGCCTGTCTGTGTATGCCTGCCTGCCTGCCCGTCTGTGTATGCCTGCCTGCCTGCCTGCCTGCCTGCCTGCCTGCCTGCCTGCCTGCCTGCCTGCCTGCCTGCCTGCCTGCCTGCAACACAGAAAAGCATGATGTGTCCAGCTGAGCCCATCAAGAGGTAGCTGAGCAGGCATTTTGCATCCCCCTCCCCCCACCCAGGGTGCCACTGCCGGAGCCCCCACCACGTCCTTGTCCCAGGGGGAGGTCCTCCGCTGGTTCATCCTCCAAGGGCGTGATCCTGCCAGGGAAGTCCGGCGTCCGGGGCGAAGGACACGATGTTCCTGCAGGTTGCTCTCGACAGCTCCCCCTTGGGCGGCTTTTGGTCCTTGATCTTCGAGCTCATGACACGGGCGCGGTACCTGCCGCCGGACCCGGTGGACCTGGCTGGCAAGGTCCGAGAGCTCCTGCGGAAGAGGTGGTGTTGCAAGCGAGGGTCGTGGTGTTGCAAGCGAGGGTCGTGGTGTTGCCAGTGGTCTGCAATGGTCACGGCCGCCGCTCTCCCCTTCCCACACGTCTGCCAGCTCCCGGACGCCCTTTGCGGCCTGGTTACCTGCTGGTCTGCCCCGTAAATGAGGGATGGAGTCGTCTAGCGAGGGAACACGGGAGGCATGGGGGGCATCAGACCAAGAAGACCAAGAAGACCAAGAAGACCCAGGCGACGCGGCTTCCCAGTCTGATCGATTGGGCGAATGGAAGGTGATTGAGGAGCAAAGGGACTTCACCTGCGTTTCACACTCAC